AGAGAGAGAGAGAGAGAGATGAAAATGTCTTTTCTCTGACCTGTGGGAAAGACATTCTTGTCCAGTTCGAAGAAGACGGGGTTGTTCCCCAGACAGTAGACGGTGACGTTCTTGCCGGAGTGTGTGTAGACCTTCATGGTGGACATGTCCTCCTTGTTAGGCACCAGTTCTGCCAGCTGGTCCTCTGTCAGCGAGGGAAGGGCCTTCCCTACATCTGCTCGGAGCTTTCTCCTGTTCAGAGAGAAAATTTGTTATAGGTTTCTAAAATTATCCTTGATGACATACTTATATCAGAGTTATCAACCTAGAATTGAGGTGTTCAAAAACTCGTATCTCCCCAGAACTATCGTAGACTGGAACTCGTTGCCACCAAGCACAGTTGGGGCATCATCACTAGAAAGCTCCTGCAATCAATTCCTGCAATCAAATGTGCAAAGATTGAGTGTAACAAGTCGTTCGGTGTGATACAGCTTGCTGCCGCCGCGCCGCGTGCCTCCGAAGCTGGTGTGTTACGCCAAAGGGCGGTTATACCGGCTATACTGATACAGAAACAGACTGTTTTCAGGGACAATACCGGCTAGCTCCTCGGCTCCAGAGCCCAAATGCCCCCATGGAAATTTATACCACAGCCTCCCTGAATAATTTACTATATTGAGTTGGACAACCCTGGTTATGCCAATTTTAGTACTAACGAAGATGATGGCCATGGGACAGAATACGAGAAATTAGAAACTCCTATTTCATTATACAGTATTTAATACCAGCGAAGTAAATTTGCGAAACAAAATTATGCAATGCAATATGCAGGTCTTCCACCACAGTGCACGGGGAGATCGGGTTGTCAACTGGTTGTTAACAGAAAGATATCATACATGTGTCGGGTTTTTAGTACTGATAATCCCTACATTAGAACCGACAAAAGGCCAAAAATCGGGCCGAATCAATGGAGTCCGCCCCTTAGTTTCCCGGCCGTTCTCCGACACATACACGACGAACGTCGGCCACGTATCGGTTTCCCCCATAGGTCACCAGAGGTCATAGTATGCGTTACATCCTGATTACCCAAATGAATGTAGCATATTTTAGTCATATGAATTAGGCATTCGATTCAATTTTTTTTTGCATGTTGATTACTATTAATATAAGCTTTGCCTACATACAAAATACAGTCAACTGATATCGATGATAATGAAGACCATTGAAATGGACAATTTTGAAACACTTGAAAACTTTTAGCCTGATTAAAATTACGGTTGCCGGTCGCCCATCCAGCCGCCCTGTGGGAAGGGGCCACTAAAGCTGCGGACGGCAGTGTTTGCGTTACACAGACTAGAAAACTTTAGGTTGACCAAGTTTACCGCCTTCTTCGCAGATTGGTGTGGCGGCGCCATTGTGTTTTTGGGGTGGGCCGCTGATCAACACGAGTATCGCCGCCCAACAAACTCCCTCCGCGGGCAAACTCCCTCCGCGGCCAAAACCCGCATCGATCAGCTTCCCCCAACCCCCGAAAAAATAATGCCGCCGCCGCACTGGTCTGCAAAGAAAGCCAAGAAGCAGCACTGATTTCAGGATATTATTTGAGAAATTCGTATTAAGCGTCACTTTTTACCTCAAAGCGTCATTGAACTGCTTTAGTGGCGGTGGCTTTCAAGAATATCAGATTACACTGAAGGGCGGTGACGCAGAGCAAACCGGCACTGCGGCAGCTGTGAACGGCAGATCGACACAAAAACGAACCTACCTTGCCTGGTCTGTTAAACATCATTCTTCCACTGCCTCACGGACCCTGCACAAGTCTTCCCACACAGTTGTCGCCTTTGCTAACTATAACTAGGCATCCTCCCATGGCAGGGTCAGCGGCTCCGGGTTCCTTAGTGGTGGAGAAGGAACTCGGAGCCGCTGATCCTGCCAGTGGGAGGATGTAACTAGGCTACTGTGCGTTCTTTGGCTACTTTTTTAATGCTACATAATGATACTCGATAGACAAATAATACTATTATATTTCTTTTTCAGGAAACAGCATGCTGTATCGAGAGCCGACCCAAGCAAAAACAATAGACACTACCTGATTGGAGATAGCACAAAAAGAGCTGCAGGGCGGCTGATGCAAGGACTAGCCCTACAAGCTTTAATACGTTGTTGTTGTTGTTTTTTCACATACATTTGCAACAGCTGCCTGTGTACCACGTGTAGTGCATTGTTAATCAAATCAAATCAAACTGTAAGGTTACCCTGTAAAAGTACAAACAACACTTGGGAGAGATAATCCCTTTGTCGGTGTGATAGAAATTTCTCGTAATTTATAATTGATAAGTATAAAAAATTCATTCAGAGGAAAGGCATAAAAAAGAGATAAGGAGGAGGAAAAACAAAAGATATAAAGAAAAGATCTGTGTCGGGATACGATCCTACGACCTCTGGATCTCGCAATATTCACCAATGTTCTTGCAATCATCCCGCTGAGCCATGGCGAACTCCGTACTTTGCTTGTGCAAATATTACACTATTGACGTGGCGGTTCGAGTTTCTTCAAAGGAAATGGAAAGTAACAAATGTTTCAAATTCATCGATGTCGTATAATAGTTAGTATTTATTCCTGAGGTTTATCTTGTATGCCATATGCGACGTTTATCATGTCATTCTGTATTGCGCTTTGTTCTTCAAGTTGAACACGGCGACCGTCATTTGTAGCGCGCGCGCGAGTGGCTCAGTCGGTAGAGTCGCTGCCTCCTTGCCTTGCTTTGCGATACGTGGCTGCCAGAACGGCGCCAGTTCGAATCCCATGCTATGCTATTATTGTCATGA